ATGCTGTATTATGTGCTAGCACATATCATATTCTATGTTGAAAAAAAATTGTATATGTAATGCACATCCAGCTAATACTCTAAGTAACATTAGACTGTATCTGTGTCCAAAACATCTTTGTCTTTTCTGTCTTTTCACTTTGCTTCTGTTTTCTATTTAACCTCCTAAGACCCGAACTCTTCCATGGCATGCATTTTTAATTTCTCTTTGATATTTGGGCTGATTGGCACCTGATGAATGTAAAAACAAAGAATTACCAGATTTTTTTATTAACCTAATTTTTGTTTCTGAGAAAAATGAGATCCACATATGAGCATATTTGTTTAAGATTTCAATAAAACAGTGGCAGTATAATGTCCTCGTAAGTGCATATCAGGCCCTGGTAGAGCAAAATGTAGTATTTTGGTCTAGACAACCCAAAATGTGATGTCCACATTTGTGAATTTGGCTCTGTTGAGATACAGGGATAACAATTCACAATAGTAATGTGATAATGTTCTAATGTTATAACTAAATCTTCTGTGAATGCATTAAAATTCTGTAGTTCCAGTCACACACTTCATTTAATGAATAAAGAAAAGTGTTCATAAAGATGTCATTCAGCATAGCTGACTTAATTTAGAGCATCTCTTAAAAAAAGTAAATTAACATGAGATGAACTGTAAATAATAAATCATGAAGCCAAAACTTTACACCTAAGGATGTAATAAGGGCATTCATCACCTTATTAGTTTATTGCCTACAGTAATTTAAAGCAATTGCTTCAGGCTCAACACTGTCAGTCTCTCTGAGGAGGCTGTACTTGCCAAATAGTAGGCGTTTCTGTCTATGGACAAGAAGTAGTATAAGATTTATAACTCCATTGAGTTTTTCAGCTACCCAGTTAAAGGTACAGTAACTGAATTGTTTAAGGTCACGGTGACAATTTATTATGTAAAAACAATACATGGTGTAGAACTCAGCATAATGTAACACATTTTCACTTAATCTTTCCTAAAAACAGCTGCATAAATAAACAATTTGCATATAATCTGTAATAATTTAACCTGAAAAAAATATTACTTACCAAACCAAATTAATTTATTCATTCATGAGCATATCAAAAATCTCCAAAACATATTTAAGAAAATGTTTATTTTGCCCATAGTAACATGACTCATACCACATCAAAACCCTTTTTGTAAAGATGCCATTAGAAAGCATTAGCAGTATTTTTAATGAAATATATATATATATATATATATATATGTGTGTGTGTGTGTGTGTGTGTGTCTATAGCTTAGCCCAAAAATGCACTTGAATACTAATAGAGACATAAAGAAATTGGATGTTATAGTGATACAAACACCAAGATAATAAATCATCTCACAAGACGCTTTGTGGCCAATCAGACTTATGCATGTCGATATGCACTGCTATACAGTTCCTCAATGGCCACTTAAGGCCATCTACAAAAACAACTCCATTCCCATCGACTCTAAATGTGTCAGATTCAGTTTCACAAAGAACCACAGTGGGAAATGAGAATCACATCAAGTGCCAGACATATATAGTGGTTCGATATGGTTTTGTATTATAATCAATGTGTGTCTCATCCAGCATTGTCATATATAATGTGGTCCACTCAAAGCCCTCAGTTAAACAACAAATTTAATTTATTAGACTTTATGAGAGTTTGTTAAGCTAAATAATGGATTCTAATTACACTTTTACAGATAGGCTACCATACAGCCAATTTCAATTTACAACCTATTTCACAAGCATGAATTTGACAGCTACAGGTTAATGAATGATCCTAATATAAGAGCACAATTATTGAATCTTTAATTATTTAGTTCTTGCACAATGCAATCGTACCTCACAGACCTGAACAAGACAACTCGGTGGTTGTGTAGGAAGCTTCATAAAGGACTGAGTTTAAATAAACTAGCACTTTTGTGCTGTAACTCTTCACTTTGACCATCTTCTTATGAACTTTGAAAGGAGAAACTGTGTGGTGGCAAGTATTCACATAGTCTCTGTTTACACTCAGTAAAAAAGTACAGTACTTGGAGAGTACAGAGTTGTACCTAGCTTTATAACTAAAATAAAACCAAATAAAAAACTGTAGAATGTTATTGTCTATTTTAAAGTACTGGTCTATTTGGAATGTATAAATAGCCTACCTGACATTAATAAATGGATGATTTATGCTTAATAAGTGTTTCAGTATACTTCTCAAATTTTTCAGCTCTCATTTTTTGAATGAATTGTCACACAATATCATATTCTATTTTGCCAAAAACATGAAAACAGCCATAATGATTTAAATATATTTTATGGAAAGTGAAAAAGGTAAGACCACTCTTGAACTGCTGGGATTTAATGTTTATCTCACTTAATTCATAGTTAATTTAATCGAAATAAAATCAAATAAACAGATTTTATATCCTTTAATTACATTGCAGTCACAGATTTCATGTCTGTGTCAAGGCACCCTCTGACCTCTCTATGACTTCTTTTCTTCTGACTGCTACTATGCTGTTTCAAGGTTCCCCCACAATCCTTCAAACAACAGCAGGTGCCTGTCTTTGCGAGAACCTGGGTAAATGTTCAGTACAATGTCAATGTACTTCTCCTATATTAAAAAATACACACAGACATGGCATGTATAGTTTCACAAACAAACAAACAGAAAACAGAACAAAATAAAAATAAATAAAAAACCATTTTATTATATAAAATATGGAAAAACAGAGTCTCCTGCAGCCTTGCACACAAAGCAGTGAGCAATCAAGACAGCTTGAAGATGATTTATATAAACATTAAACCCTCTTTCCAAAAAAGGGGTTTCAGAATAAGCCATAGTTTGTGTAAACACAGACATTGTTGCATAGCCCACTTAATTTGTCCTCTTAATTTGAGCTTTAAAGACTTTTCTTAATCCCATAGTTTCCAATCTTCTTGTAAGATAGGAGGGATTTAAATCCAGCAAACTTTCCTCATTTGTCCACAAATTACCTCAAAGTTCCCTGCTGGGCCAAGATAAAAGCCTTGTAAGAAATGAACAGACAAGATGTCTCGTGTTACCTTCCCCTATCTGGTCCTTAACCATGCAAGGGTGTGTTAGCCAAATAGACCCCGTCGGCTGTCCCTGGGGGGGTCAGTTTGCTAAGTAGTAAACCTGTGTTCTGTCAGGTGTCATTAAAGTCCAGCGGGAGTCTGAGGGGACCTGTCACGACTAGGAGTAATGGATGTCTTCTTCACTGATTGCTAGCAGGGATGGAGTCAGCACAAACAGCAAATTAGAAGTGACATTTTGATGGAGGCAAAGCTGGAAACACAGCTGGTCACATAAGACCGAAAAAGGGAAGGACACGAGTGAAGAGAGAAAATATAAAAAATAAATGATAGAAGAAAAGAGGTGTCCAGAACAAAGCCAGTGTATAGTTCTTTTTTTTTCTTTCTGCTGATCGATAGTGTGTTTTAATATTTTCTGTTTTAAGAAAAGGACAACTTGAACAGTGACACTATAAAGGGCTGCCCACAGCTGATTAGCCCTCCTTGAGCAGCTGGGGGTGAAACACTTGACTATAAATTGTCATGAAAGCGGTTTGTGGGAAAGTGAAGCGAATGACTCATTTTGCTGTATTCATTTTCATGGTTCAATTTAAAAGTTAATAGAAATGTGACATGATGTATATCATCCTTGAAATGATAGGTTTATTGTGATGCTCTTGAGAGAACCTACGTATTGACATGAGAAATATCTTTATGCTCCGGGCTTATTACACATGATGATTAGCAGTGAAGGGCAGCAACAGTGCTGCACTGGGCAAAGGAATACTGTACCGTCACTGCATCAATGACAACAACCAGTCAAGCGACAAGCAACATCCTCAATCTCTTCAGGCTAATAACACAAAGAAAACAACATCAAGGGAATCACTCAGTGTCACTCAGCAGACTCGGGTGAGATGAGCACAGGAGCTGACATTATGAAATGGATTAAATTTGAGACCAATTAAAAATGAATTGCTCGAAATGAGCGCTGACCCTCGCCGAATTGGATGCCAGTGATCTCATTAGGCTGGCTTCTCACTCAGTACAAGCCAGCAACTGGAGAACAGGCCCACCTGACACACTGTCAGAGAGGGAGAAAACCCAAAGGGCTGCTGCTTGCAGTGGGCTGAGAATAATAAGTACTCAAGATATGTGGCATGTGTGTGGATGGCCCTTCTGTGACTGTGCATGTTTGTGAGTGTACAACACTGTTGCGTTTATGTGACGTACATGCAATAATCCATATTTGGTATGATTTTGCATCTTATTTACATTTATTTTGATTTGGACCAGGGGTGTCAAACTCAAATACACAGTGGGCCAAAATTCAAAACTGGAACAAAGTCGCGGGCTAACGTTAATATTTATTGAAATATATTTATTCCTCCAGATATAAGAATGAATCTTTTCTTATGGACTCAAACACGTTTTGCTGAAAAACTGAATATGGAACAAGCAAAGCTTAATACTAAACAATATATATATATGAGCTGTAAAATACCAGTAGGCCAGCTCTAATAGTAAGTTGGTATGGCTTTGCGGGCCAAATGTAATTAGGCTGCGGGCCAGAGTTTGACACTCATGATTTGGACTATATATATATATATTTTAAAAAAAACCACCAAGCTCGCCCCTGCAGGTGGTTTATCCTTCAAGCTCAGGTCCTGTACCAGAGGCCTGGGAGGCCTGGGAGCTTGAAGGTCCTGCGCAGTATCTTAGCTGTTCCCAGGACTGCGCTCCTAACCCTAACCCTATGTGTGTGTATATACATATATATATATATATACATATATACATATACATATACATATATATATATATATATATATATACACAACACTTAAAAATACTTATAATGATACTTGTCTTCTAACCATGTACCTATGTCAATTAAATAAAAAAAGTATAGGAATACATGTTGGAATACCAAGATTTGCAAATTTTTACATTCTGTTTTATTTTCATTTTACACTATATCCATACATCAGGTGGAAAAATGTATTCCTTAAAATAACTTTCTTCTTTTTAAGTTGACTTGAAATGACAGGCAGATAATTCACTATGTGGACAAGTTTTGGGGCACCAACACATTTATACTATAGGACTTCTTATGACATACAATTCTAAATCTGGTAATACAGAAGCTACGGTTATGGTGCCCCCTTTGCAGCTGTAGTCAACTTTTTCTTGTAGCACTTTTTTTCATCTTGATGGATACATATTGTAATGGGGGGGGGGGTGTCGTGTCAGTGAAAACAAATTTGTGAGCAATGCATTTCAAGAGGAAATGTATGTCATATGAGATGCATCTTTGTGTAAATCATCTATACTTATCTCAGCTGAGCACTATACCTCTAACCCTGGCCCTAACTATATCGGATAGAAACTCTGAATAAAGGTCAGGTAGACAATAGAGTTAACAAATAAAACAGGTTTTTGAGTTTTCCAGTTGAGTAAAGCTTTCAAATGAATCATTTCAAGGTCTTCGGTTTATTAGCTAGAGTGAAAAATTGCTGCCAATCCTCCTCGTTCTGTGTTTCAAGAATTCTGACCCTTTGCATAACTCCAGCGTGTTGATTCATTTAAACTGATGTATTCATCCTGCTGCAACCAGGTTTCTGTGAGGCAAAACAAATAAACATTTTGATCAATTATTACATCATTTAATAACAGGGACATAGAAGAGAGTGTCTGACCTCGCAAATGCAGTTCTAGAAAAATGGTATAATAAACCTTGTGGAAAGCCTTCCCAGAAGAGTTGAAGCTGTTGTAGCTGCAAAGGGTGGGCTGACATCACATTAAACCTTATGAATTAAGTATGAAGTGCGTGTGAAAGCAGAAGAGCAAATACTGGGGTCACGAGGTTAAATTTACACAAATGTTTTTAAAAATACTGGCACGGCTAAGTGCTTGAATGTTTGCACATGTGGAGTAAACAAAACAACTGTATTCAGTGATTAAGAGGCGTGGCCTATATAGTGTATATAAAACCCTAAATTTAATGGCTGTGGCCTTTCATCGCCAAAATAATACACATTCACTGTATTTTCCTTCATTTCGGTGTCCTCATTTTCCTCTTCACATTGCCAATCTCTTTCCCATATCTTTGCTGTGAATCAGGAGCAATTAGCTGCTTGCCATCTAGTCAGACTGTTTTGGTCATTTAGTGTCTGAGGCCTTCATTACTGACAGCGCCTTTATCACATAGAAGATTAGCTAATGTGCCGAAAAAACATAAGAAATAAAAAAAGAGGCTTAGAGGAGTCCAGTCTAGACAGATACACACAAATGGTAATGGATATGAAAAGAAAAAGTCATATCAGCGGTGGATAAATCACACAATATGTCTAGTATTCAGTCTGTCTCTCTACTTATGCCCGAGTGGCACCCTGTGATCTCAGGGTCTGGGGTGCATAGCAAGGTTCCCTTCTTAATGGGTACTCTCACTTAGAGTGAACATGCTGTGAAATTTTGATTAGTCTCTGTATCTTCGGTGTCTGAATGGCAGTCTCTAAAAGAAAAATCCACACAAGAATAAAAGGACACTTGAACAGTTGGAACAATCAGAATTAGTCTATGGAGGTTAGCAGATGTTGCCTAAAAAATACTTTCACAGAAAAAATAGAGCATTTTGAGAAGACATTAAAGATTTATATATATTTTTTAAAATATAAAATTGTATTTTCATTGAAATGTTTTGTATGTGCTGGCTATGTGTAATATTCATTTTCTGTGTGATGTTCTCCCTCAAGATTTGTCTAGGAAAGCCCGACTGGGGATATCTGTGGATTTTTCATATGGGACTAGGACTGATGGACACGTCTGTGTCCCCTGGGAACTCTCGTAATGCACTTCCAAGGTCGTCTGCTGTCGCTCCGAGTAGCACAGAGTGCCAACAAGCCCTGACAGTGTCATTGGTCCAACGGAACCTGCATAAGATGGTTCCTGCTCCAGGAAGCATGGGACCATTAAAAATAGATGGATCAATAAGAATACATGCACCTCCGGCTGTCTATGATAATTCAGAGAGCAAGGGGAGCAGCAAAGAATAGGAGGCTGGAACAGAGAGGACATGGGATGAAAGGACAAGGAAGGGAAAGAGTATCTGAAGTATTTGACTTAAATTTAAAGTTTAAATTGATATAAATGTTTATGCTTTGTGATGTAATGTTTAAGTTTAATGTAGTTTACTCATGAAGGAAATCTTTACATTTTTATATTTTTCTCATGTCACATTATTTTTAGAATTATAAGCCAAGCAAGCATTATGCTGCATTTGAAAAATATGAAGCACTTTAATTCAGCCAGTATAACATAAGATGTATAAGTCTAATAAAACTCATATGTCTTGTATTATACTAAGATGTCTTACATAAAATGTACTTTTAGAGGTCTTGTAAATTCTTACAAGTAAAGGAAAGAAGACAAACATTTGGGAAAAAAAAAAGCAAGAGTGGAAAAGTTTTGAGTAGAGAGAAAGATATGAGGCAGTAACAGCGTTAAAAGCAGCAAACAGATATATTTGCAAGCATGTCCTCTAGGACTTTTATTGGTTTATGGTGCAGTTTTTTGAAAATGTAACAAGTAGTTTCATGACACATAAATCATGATTTCTTTCTTTCTTTTTTTTAACTACAAGAACAACGACTGTGAAGCTAATTGAGTACAGTGAACGCCATGTTCAAGAAAACAGCTTTGTGACATGACATGTTTTTCTGCTGGATGGACACGATCAGCAGCAATACTAGGGTAGACAGAGGCATTTAAACAATGCTCAGCTGGTACGGGAGCTAAAATATAACAGCAAAATATACCTTCATACCATTAGATCATTGTTAGCCCAAACCATTGATACAAGGCATGATAGAGCCCTGTTTTCAGATTTATTTATTTTTTTACATCAAACTTTAACCCTACCATTTGGGTGTTGCAGCTGAAATCAAGACTCACCAGTCTCACCAGCAACATTTTTCTAATATTCTGTTGTCAAATTTAGGTGATTCTGTGTAAATTGCAGCCTTGGTTTCCCTCCAGTTTGATAATAACATGAGTCTGCTTCCAATATTTTTCAAGATTCTTTTTGTATTCAGAAGAAATGCAAAAGAGTATTTCTGAATACATTTCTTTGCACAAGTGGTTATTTGACTTACTGTTGCCTTCTTTTCAGCTTGAAGCAATCTGACCATTCTCCTCTGACCATAGCAAGGCATTTTCTCTTTTTCAGACCATTATCTGTAAACTCAGGCCAGCAGATTCTGAAATACTCAGACCAGCTTGTCAGGCACAATAACCATGCCACATTCAAGGTCTCTTAAATCACCTGTTGTCACCATTCTGATGCACAGGACTACATGTCTAAACACATAGAGGTGCTGCCAGGTGCCATTAGTGTTAAGTTGAACAGGTGTAGCTAACAAAGTGGCTGGTGGCTATATAAACACAGTACAAATGTCTGAAACAAATAGTCAATTAATTGAAAATAAGCTTCTGCTTCAAGTAAATGATTCTTGGAAGCTTACTTGGAAAAAAAGTGAGGGCCAACAAGTGATTCTACTTTAGCAGCAGTACAGACATTGTACTGGACCATTGTGGTGAATGTAGAGATAATCCAGGACTCATAACCCCAGCAGGTGCTTGCAAAGACAGTTCTGTAAAAACATGCTCCAGAAAATTGAGAATGTTATTTTTAAGTGGACACTGATGTTGAGGTAAAACAGCTAAGAGCTTGTATTTGAAGTAGGGTTATGCTCTGGGTCAAAGTGCCTAAAATGGAAAAAGATCCATTTGACTTATTATGTATGCGAGTAAACTAAATATTAATTTTTTTTTAATATTTTGATTTCCATTTACACATGCAGGGACTATATAGGGCTAGAGTTCTGAGTTTAGATCTTTTTTCTTGTTCCTATTTCTTAAACAAAACTACACCCTGTTGGAGACGCACTCTCTGTCTTTACCATCACATCATTGCCAGCTCTGAGATCAGATATTCCTTCATACTGATTACTCAAATGTTTTATTTATTTAATAAATAACTGTTAGTGTAATGCAGCAATAAGATGAAATGGTTTCACTGTATTCAGATCACTACACCTTACCAAATATTATTGATATTATATTTCTATAATAATAATAATAATAATAATAATAAATATTATCTTTAATTTTGGGATTTGAAAAATAAACATTTTTGTCCAGCAAATTCTTCAACCAGTAATGACAAAGTGAAATGCTAACTTATTAAGAATAATTCACAGAAATCTGTTATTTACAAATGTAACTTAACTAAACTCATTACTTTCAGCTGTTACATATTTGTACCTCCTTTAGCAGCTTTTGGAAATCTACATTTGGACACTTGATTTCCACAGATATACCGTCTATACGTTTCTGTAGATACTGCAGCAGCAAAATTCAACATGCTTTGTTAAAATTCAAATTATGGATGATCATTATGCCAAACTCTAAGACGTAATTTCCAATTATTATACTGAGAAATGAATGAAAAATCAATGAAAAACACAAAGATTAAAGTTCTACGGAGTTTGAATATCCACAGCAAAATGGAGAATGAAAATGCTGATCAGTCAACATCACATGATGCAAAATAAAACAAAATGACATGAGAGCGACACTGCCAGGTCTCCTGTGAAAATTAACTGAACAGTTTTTTTAGTGTAAAGCAGAGAGAAATTTCATCAACCTCTTTGATCAGTGCCCTTAAAGATTGGTCTCATTATCTTTGAAGCTTTATTATGTGCTTCAGTATTTTTCCTCATTACTCTGCAGAACGGAGAGATGTTTGTGAGTTACTGAAAACGTTTCATACAGTCACATTATTGATCATTTGCATGCTGATGTGGTCACATATGTGGAACATGCAGCTATATCAATCATCTCAGACCAAGTTTTCTTTTGCGGGCCTTTAGTCACCAAGATTTCTATTTTTCATATTCTGTTTGCTGCTTTAGGGATGATGCTTTTGATCTGCCGACCTTTTGTGTCTCATTAGGAAGAAATACATCATTTCCCCTTTTGTTAAACATTATGCTGCACTTCAGTGTTATTCCTTTAATAATTTAAAATGGGAAAATCTCAGTAGAACTAAGTAATGCATTATTAGGTTAAATGCAGAAAATAGTAATATAGTGCAGTCTAGAGTCAAACTAGCCAAATGATGAGGGTAAGAGTCGTTTTACATTTTTATTGCCTCATAAATATTCTTCACAGTTCATGAATATCTTGCCCCATATTAATAGTCAGTAAATGACCAATTAACATATCAATCAGAAGACCCAGTGAGAATTTTGACCAGTAGTAGTGCAAAAAATATTTTCTTCTTTTTCTTTGGTCACCATCTTTTAATGATCTTGCAAAGATCTCTACTTGCTTGCTATCATTGAACTTTCTCAAACTAGGCTTATTTGCTTTTGAATTATTTAATGTATTTCCATATGATTAGAATTTTATCATCTGCCCTCATCAGAAAAACATGTGGTTGTTTATATATATGGTAAAAAGATAAGTGTCACTTAAAACCATAAAAACATGTCTAAAGCAATTTGAATTTCTCAAACTCAGTTTTGAAGTTCTGAAAAAAACTGTAACTGTATTAGACTGTACACCAATACACTGGCTGTCTTTCAAATGTATTATTGCCGTATTTTTATAACATAGACCATACATACACACACACGTACACATACACTACTAAAAACTATGAGAAAGAGGGACTGAGCCCTTTATATTGATAGATAATTATAATTCTGAAAAGAAAAAAGGTCTCACGGCTTTCATTCTTACAGGTAAATAGATACAATGAACAATCTTGTAGAGCAAGATAAAGGTTTGATGAGGTGACTTTCTTTTTAGCAAAAAGCCCCCGCAGTGAGTTTCACTGCAAATGCATCATATTATAGTGGTGAAATACAAAACATTTCAAATCTCAAAGAATGCTAGGTTCGTATCTATTTTAAGAGCTGCATAATATGAAGCACCTGCAACTCATACCAGCTCTTAAAAAGAGACTCCCAAACCACTTTGATGTGTGACATGCCAACATATCTGTACAATAAGCATATTTTCAGACGTGTGAAATCTCCTCCTCTAATTTCTGCTTTTGACTGTATTTGTTTAAAAAGTAACGCACCACCCTTCACAACAAGATGACTGGAATGCATCACTAATTTAAGTCCCCTTAATTACAGCTGTTGTTGAAGTTATTGGTAAACATAGCCTTATATATGTTGCCTGAGCTCTTGAAAATCAATGGTTTTGCATTATTATGCTGTTTTTGTTGATTTTGGAATGGTTATAGAAATGTTTTAAAATACATGCATTGGCAGCAGAAAGACCTTTTGTTTTGTTTGACTTGACATGACTTCACACCCACAGTTTTCTGGAGATCTTCCAAATAAATTCACTTGGTTGGCTTGCAGCATAGACAGAATTAATAGTTAATCTGTTGGTTGTAGTCATTGTCTGCTTAAAAACTAAAATCTGACAGAATGGAAAAAGCAGAAATTTACATGAAATTATGATAGTTTATTTGTTAGAAAGTGAAAAGTGTCTAGACCAAAGCAGATTTACTTAACAATGCAGATTTAATTCAGTTCAATTCTGTTCAATTCAATATAGCACCGAATCACAACAACAGTTGCCTCAATGGGCTTTATATTGTAAGGTGAAGACCTTGCAATACAGAGAAAACTCCAACCCCCTATGAGAAAGCACTTTGGTGACAACAGGAAGGAAAAACTCCCTTTGAACAGGAAGAAACCAGTGCAGTTGGTCGCCCCTCCCTGGTTCTGCTGGAGGTTTCTTCCTGTTAAAAGGGAGTTTTTTCTTCCCGTTGTCAAAGTGCTTGCTCATAGGGGAACAGACTTAGCTCATTAACTGATTGTGTTTATTATGTTGCACGTGTTCATATATTGTCATGCCCTGGCAGTTCCAGCTATCTCTCCCTCCCTGACTGTATGTTGCAGGTATTCCCTCTCCAGGAGATCTGGCCCGGAGGTTTGTCTTCAGCAGCTGTGGCTGGGATTTATTTGCACACCTGTTCTCTATGTACTCATGACCTGTAGGGGATTTTTAGGACCAAGACTTTGCATCTACAAGTGATAATCTGGTTTCTAATTAAATTGTATTTGGCTTACCTTAAATTTGTATTTTAACCCTGGTGTTTTGTCTTCCTTCCAAGTTCCCCCCTGGTGTGCCTGTTCAGGGATCTGTCTGGATAAGAAAACACAGTGAAAAGGAAAACTTAGTGGTGGAAACGTTTGGGGCCTGGGCCTGCCCTCTAATAGATCCTTAAGTCTTAAGTCCTTAACATAGTTAGCTTTAAGCTTTAAAACAAAGTTGTTTTATTGTCCTGAAAAAACATGAAGTTGTCATATGGTGTTACCTAATGGTGTTATTTCATATTATACTAGGGGAAGAAAAAGTCAGTTTATTCTGTAATTATGAATTAAGTTGCCAGTTTAAAATGCAAGTGAGGATGATCTCACCAGTGCTCACATAGTGCTGTTGTACTGTAACATGCTGTACTTTTTACCTATTGTGTCACAGTCACCCTCACAATAGTCCCCAATCTTTGTGTTATTTCCAAAGCAGAAGCTCCAATTGTGATACCCCTGAGGGTTGAAAAGCTAGCTTTTGAAACATCTCTTGCTTTTCACCTCACCCACTGTGCCTTTTATAAACAGTCAGTAATTCCCTTTGATGATGCCAACACAAAGGCCTTATGTCAAAGCACTTTTTTCTGATTTCTTTGTGGTTTAGACTAACTCGTGTTTTGACATTCTTTTCTTGCATAAGGATGATGATGATTGTGGTTGCCTGTGTGTATGCTTAACCACAAAATAACAACCTTGGATAGGAGAAAGCCACCATCATCATCATCCTGACCTTCACAGGCATAAGATGAGATACAATAGCCTTGATTCTGAGCACACGCACACTATCAAAGCCCGTGATCTATTTTGAGTGACATATCATTCTTATGGGAGTGCCAATGTGCAGATTGTGGGTGATGCAAGCAGCCTGCAAGAATTGCTTCCAATCTCTTGGTGTAGTAGGAAATGTACAAACAAAATTATCCTCCTTTATGCTCCACTGTTAACGTCCACACTTAGATGTTTCCCAAAAATTTTAAAAGTTTGATAAATGTTTTAATGAACTTGTATCACTTCAGAAACTTGGTACAAAGGTGTAATTTTTTTTGTTTTTTCTATGAATATACAATTATAACTAAAATCATGTCATCGCTGCATTAATCTGTATTAATAATACAGATTTTTGTAAAAATGCATATGTGCACATTAATTATATAGTTTAAAAATGTGTTATGTCTCACTTATACAGGACATACAAACCTGAGCCTGTAATGTAACAAGAATATGTGGCTATTGTAACATGAAGTACGATGCACAAGGTTCCAACAAATGCAATTTTTAGCCATCTGCCTGCATCAACTCCAGCAGATAATAAAACTAGATGCTGTGATCAGTCATTGCATTAAGCCACTTTCAACAACATGTGTTGTTTACTGGCTTATACAAAAAGCCCAGAGGCACTGCCTGTGGCAGGATCCTGAATGATTCAGAGGCCCTCAGTCTGAAAGAGGCTTTAGGTCTTTTTTCAGGACATAAGTTGGCATTTGTTCTACTCCAATTAAGGTACATGTTCTCCTGAACTCAGTCACATTTTCTATTTTTGCTCTCACAGCAGTTATACTTTCATTTCCCACTATTTCATGATTGCACTTGCTTTACCTGAACACTACTTTCATCAAACAGTTCATGACTTTTCAGACTTAGAGCTAAAGGTCAGGAGTTATGAAGGAATATTTTAGTGCAGATTTGCCTAAAC